TTAAGACTTTGAAATGATGTGCTGTTAGAAAATGCTTTTCTGCCTAGCACAAAGGTATACCAATAAATCCCCAAAATGTTTGTTGAACAGAAAAGTCGCAAATAGGTCTGTGCAGCCACTTGGTCAGGAGATCAGAACTCTAATTTGGGCCTGACTAGACATTAAGCTGTGTAACAATGGTTAAAACACTTTATTTCCATTTACTCATCAGCAAAATGAAAAGTTACTATGTACAAATGGACAACACACAAATTCTAAGTGGTGGGTTAAGTACAAAGGGTAGAAAACTTACAAAATGGAAGACAGCTCTGTGTTAAAGCCAATTTACCAATAACCCAATGCAACAAGCTTTTAACAGCAGTCGCTTTCTCCCAGAAGCTTTCAGATTCTTGAAATACAGAGATTAGTGAGTGGTTTGGTCTCCACTTAAAACAAAGGATTTTTAAAAAAAGGACAGCAAAAAAATTCCTGCCTTGAAGAACTGACAATGTAGCTGAGAGACAACTAAGACACAATGAACCAGAAAGACCAAATACAATGAGTTTGGTACTTTGAAAGAGAAAAGTTCAAGTGCAATGGGAGCATTCAGGAGGAAACCCCACTAGCAAACTCACTAGTTCAAGTTAGAGAAATGTGTCATGTATACAACCACGAAGATGTAACAGAGAATGCTCTACCAGGACAAGCTAAATTCAAGAGATTGGAGTCTAACCTAAATGTCTAAATACTCTCAATAATTACGAGCAATAACTAGTCTAGGTCAATCTTAGTAGATTTTTTTAAAATAACAAAAACACAGAAAAAAATCTGAGACCATCTTATTTGAAATGACTACAAATGGTATTTCCACATGATTCTAAAATTAACAAATCCATTTTCTTCTTCTAAAACTATATTACAATTTTATTTATTGATTTTGGTATTTGCTTTGGTAGAAAACGTTGCTAGTTATGATTTTCTATCCCTATGCTTTACTTACTTACTGTATTTTAAATTTAAAAAATCCTTTACACAGGAAAATGTAAAGTAATGTTATAAGGACATAAAAATTAAATTGTGACCATTATCTTAGGTCACTAGAATCTTCTCATATTATTCTCCATTTAAAGCAGAGCATTTAAAAAAGAAAAGTGTGTGTGTGTGTGTAGGCGAGATAGGGACGGGACAGTTTTTCCCAGATGTCCTATTAAGGTACTTACAGTGCTGATCACAATCAACTCTGGCAAAAACAACTTGATTTTCATTTGGATATTCTTCCTTAATGACGTCAGAAGCTTCCTCAAAAATTGGATGCAACATCTGACTGAAACGACACCTATACATAGAAAAGAATACCAATTAGAAATGAAAAACAGAAGTAATGAAATCTTATTTTAGTTATCACCCACTGACATTTAGGATAGGTATAATAAACTTAAGTCCGTGAGACAATCACGCACATAATTTATGTGAATCACAGATTTTGATGTTATTCAATGTAGAGGAAGATGACTGTGAATGCAAAGACTATATTCCAATAAGACTATATAAATAACTGACAGACTTTGAGTCTTTTTCCCCATAAGATAATTGCTATTTTATGAACCACACAGAAGATCTCTTGCAGAGGCCATGAAACAAATCTGAAATAACTCCGCAAAGATGTACTATTAGGCCTTCGAACTACTAAGGCTTGACCATTTATAAAAGAAATTAGCTTTTTTGAATAATGAACATGTTTTTAGATTACTGCAAAAAGTCTTTTAAAATTAAATACTAATCTTTTAATAACAAATATTAGATCAATCTACCTGGCTAGTTCAACCACATCTCACAGGCAAGTTAGCACACTCAATAACTTCTATTAAAAGGATACATGGTACATAATGAACTGTTTCCTTGTTAAAATGGGCTTTTATATCTGTAAATATACTCAATGTATTAAATCCAGAAACAAATACTTTAAATTCCTAAGCAAGACTTCCTATCTATATTTACATTTTTTTCTTTTACTTTAAAAATGGAGCATACACCCCACAATATTCCAGGAACTTGTTACTTCTAATCAGACTGTCTCTTTATCAGGCAACCACTTCACAAATACAGTCATGCATTGCTAAATAACAGGGATACACTCTAGGACATGAAAGGCATCAGGCAATTTCTTCATTGGGCAAATATCATAAAGTGTACTTACACAAACCTAGATGATACAGCCTACTACACATCTATGCTATTATAGCCTATTGCTCCTAGGCTATAAACCCATATAGTATATAAGCGTACTGAATACTGCAGGCAAGTATCTGTGTATGTAAACATAGAAAAGGTACAATAAAGATACAGTATTATAATTTTATGGGGCCTCTGACATTGATCTTAATGCCGTTATGCAGTGCATGACTATATCTGTTCTGGGTCAATTAAAGGGACCTAATAAGAAAGAGAAGAATTAGAATTAGTATATACCCAGCTGGGTTAGAATGGTCATTCTCTTATGGAAAAGGTATTGAGGATATGTAAACCAAAAAAAACTATAATTGCTACTATTGTTTCCAGAGCCCTTTTCCACCAAGAAATTTACCTAAATGAAGCCTATGAAGCCCTGATCCACACGTGATCAGATCATACATATTAGAGATAATTCAGTAAAAATATTGTTAAGCCTGTGAAAGGATACAAAGTTTATACTTCCTTCCTATTTCTTCTTGTATATAGCTCTTCTAGCCCACTCACCTGACTTCCTAAGGAGAATAGATCAAGGAGACAGAATCTGTATCTTCACTCTCTCTCTCAAGTGGCTCTTTCCTCTTTTAGCCTTCTTAAATCTCTCCCATCTGGGATAGGTGGGTGGGGTCTGTGGACATCATGGACTGTGTCTTATTTGACTACATAGTCTAATAACCATTCAGTAGTTGTCTGTTAAATGAATAAACTGATAGAATGGAGGAAGTGGAGAAGCTAGGACCCCAGGACTGCAGGATCTTACAGTTTGCTAAAATAGGGTAGATAGAAGGCAGGGGGAGGCAAGGAGCAGGGACAGACTAATGGTTTCTTGAAGAATCTGGATATGGCCTAGTAAAGAATAATTAGTGTACAGACCTCTTCTAGAAGAAAAAATTCGAAGAAGTAGTCTTTAGATAAACATCAAGGGCTCTTTCTCTCTGAACTGTCCAGTCTGCTGCCCAATAAGTATTTAAGCAAGGGTTCATGTTTAAAACAGAACTAGTTTTAATACACATTAAGTATCCCCATTCTGAAAATCTGAAATGCTACCAAATCTGAAACTGTTTGAGCGTTATCATGATCATTAAAAGAAATGCTCACAGGAACATTTAAGATTTCAAACTGTTTGGATTAGAAATGCTGAGCCAGTAAGCATAAGGCATATATTACAAAGTCTGAAAAAATCCAAAATCTGAAACACTTCTGTCCTAGACATTTCAGACAAGGGACATTCAACCTGTACCAAAAGATACAATAAAAGTTCGATTCTAACATTACTCTACCTGTATGCACATGTATCCGTCAACATGGAAATGTTACTAAAGGTAACATCATAAAAGCAGTGGCTCTACTTGAAGGGTCTTAGGGTTATCTAAACACAATTTTCTTTTTTTTTTTT